CTCCGCTCCCCTCCCCTGCAGTCTCCCCGAGGGGCCCCACCCAATCCCCTGACCTGGCCCCTCAGGATGGGCCAGGTGCCCGCCCCACAGCCCCACCCTGCCCTGCCCACCACCCTCAGTTCCAGGGTCCCAGCAGGCCCAGTGGGCGGAATGTGCTCATGTCTCAGACTGCCAATGGCTTCCACTTCCCAGACAGGCCCAGACAGCCCCTGCCAGCAGCCGAGAGAGATTCCCCAAGAGCCCAGCAGCTGCTAAGCCACCAAAGCTAGGAGGACGCCCCCCCACCCATGCTCACATGCAGAGGGGCCACCCCACCCCACACACCCGCAAGCCCAACAGAGCCAGTCTGGTTTCCTGGACTGGCCGTGCCACCGCCATCCCTTGCACGCTTCAGCACCCTGGACCACTTCTCCAGAAAGCCCCCTGCCCAGCCCCTCTCCCTCCGATCTTGACCTTGTACCGCCTCAGGCTGAGACAGGGAGCTGTCTATAACAGGTACGGCTCCCCGGAAAGTCTATGAGGCCCTCCCAGGGACCAGCCACAGGCAATGGGGACCCAGGGGCTGATTCTCAGGAACTTTCCCAACCTGATGGGCTGTCCCATCCCTCAGCCCTCAAGGCTCCCGTCTCCCTCCTTTGAGCCCCAGGCCCGGATGGGGTGGGCAGAACAGGTCGGCAGGGGACAAGCAGCCCCAAACCCTCAGCAGACTCTCCTTGTCCCCCCATCCCCACACTGCCCAAGCCAATGACCGGACCAAACCACAGGAGGCATTGAACTTCAAGCAAAGCTTTAATTGCAGTCATTGGGGCAAAATGAGGAGGTCTCCTTGGTGAGGGGCTGTGGGAAGCAGATACAGAAAGGCAACTGCTCTTGGGCGGTGGCCCAGACAGGCACTTGGGGCACAGCAGTACTGTGCTGGGAGCTGCAGGCAATGGCTGCCCCTTGACCCTAGAGGCTGCGCTGTCGCAGGTAGACGGGGCCTCAGTGGGGGGAGCGATGGACCTGCTCGCGGGAGGGGACCACCTTGCCGTCCTGGACTTCCTCCATAATGATACACACCTGGTGGGTGGTCACCACGGCTATGGGCGGGGGAGGAGGGAGGCACAGGGAACCAAGCTCAGGCTGGAGGCCCTCCCCAAGCCTCCCACACAGAAGGGTCCTCAGCCTCTCCCCACCCGCCCTGGGCAGGACGGGGCAGGCTCTTACCTTCCCGGGTGGGCTGAGAGACCAGGGACGAGGAGTACTGGGTGACCAGGCTGCAGGGAAAGGGGGACCTGTCAGCCCAGTGGTGTTGGTTGGGAGCCCAGCCCCCAGGGAGGAGGAGCAGCTGGGGAGGCCCCGGCCGAGGGGAGACAGATCCCAGCAAATCGGACAGAAATCACAGTAGGGAGTACAGGGCAAAGAACGGCAACCACAGGGTCAAAGGGCACAGGCCCAGTGGGCAGGAGTGAGGAAAGGGGATATCCCAACAGAAGGCCCAGAGGCACTTGGCGGCCAACCAGGGATTTACAAGGAGAAGCTGAGCAAGTGGTTTCTCCATATCCTGAAGGGCCCAACAAATAAACTTAATTAAAGCAGGAGAGATTGTGGCTAGACTATAGATAGACTTAGCCATCGTCATAGAGCAAAAAGCTGGAATGTGTGACTAAGCATGGAGACTCCAGAACATCCTCGGCCCCTTTACACTAGGGCCCCATCACCCACCCAACTCCAAACCAGATCGCCACCCATCCCAGACAATGGGATCACCAACCATGCAATCACTGGAACCAGAAAGCCAGGATCATTATTAACCACTTCAGGTGCTAACTCAAATGTTCATTGAGTCCCACCTGCAAGCCATGCTCGCCCCCACATTCAGGCATCCAGTCCCGCTGTTTTTAGCTATAACACATCCTCTTGGTGCAACACCTCCCCTTCCCTGCCCTTCGCCCGCCTTATGGCAGGTCTTCTCTAGCCTGACGCCCTTGCTCCAGCCTCCTGACTGGTCTCCCTGACCCCACCCTCGCCCCTCGGATGCATTTCTCCCTCTGCAGCCAGAGTGAATGTTCTAAGATGTCTTGATGACCATAATTCTCTCTGCGCAAAAGCCCCCGTGGCTCCCCACTGCCTACTCCATCAAGTGGGACCCCAGCCAGTGTTCTCAGCTTCACCTCCTGCGAACCTCCACACCTCCTCCTGTCTCGGCGGGTGCTGGCCCTCCCTGGGTGAAGCCACCCAGCCCACTGAGCAGGTGCGGGGCGCCCTCCACTCACTGGGCGTCCTGGCCCTCCAGCAGGCGGCAGTAGATGGCGATCTCCTGCTCCAGCCGTGTCTTCACGTCCAGCAGCATCTTGTACTCCTGGTTCTGCCCCTCCATCTCGCAGCGGAGCTCGCTCAGCTGGGCCTCGATGCTGCTGCTAAGCCCCTGCAGCTGGGCCAGCTGGGCCCCGTAGTGCGCCTCGGTCTCCAGTGACGCTTTCTGTGGGTCAAGGTGGAGGTGGCTGGGGAGACCGAGCCCCCAGAAGGGGGCCCCACATGTGTGGGTTTGTGGGTGGGGCAGTAAGTGGGGCAGAGTGTGCAGTGGCAGGCGGGGCAGGCAATCTCTGGTTCTCCAAGTGGGGGTCCAGGAGGCAGGGCCCACTCGGAGTGACGGGAACAGGACAAGGAGGGGACAGAGGCCCTACCACGCTGAGCTGGGACCGCAGCTCGATCTCCAGGTTCTGCACGGTGCGGCGTGGCTCCGTGATCTCCGTGCAGCTGCTCGGCAGGGCCTCTGTGCTGGTGGCCGCCTCGCGGTTCA